AATAATAATAATTATGATAATATCAATTATAATACTATTATTATTATCACTTTTATCATTATCATTAATAATAATGATAATAATAATATTAATAATGATGATTGACTGATTGATGATGATGACGACGATGACGACGACGACGACAACAATCATCATCATCATCAAAATCAGAATCATCATCATAATAATAATAATACTTACAGTGGCAAAAGACAATAACATCAGCAATTAACAATAACAATAAAAAAAACTAATACAAGAACACAAAAATATACATTATAAGGTCAATCTGCACTGTGTATATAGTATGCAAAATTGATTTTATCATTATTCATTACATTATATTATCATTACATTATAATTAACATTCACTATACCATTATCATCATCATCATTACTATTATCATAATCATTATTATTACTATTAGCATTACTATTATACTTATTATCATTGCTATCAAAAGGGGAGGTGAGAGAGAGAGAGAGAGAGAGAGAGAGAGAGAGAGAGAGAGAGAGAGAGAGAGAGAGAGAGAAGAGAGAGAGAGAGAGAGAGAGAAGCGAGGAGAGACATGAGAGAGGGAGGTGCGACGGATGGCAGACGAGATGAGCGGGAAGAGAAAGGAGAGAGAGAGACGAGGGGAGGAGAGAAGGGAAAGAGGAGAAAGAGGAGAAAGAGGGGGACAAAGAAAGAACAGAAAAGAAAAGAAAAAGAAAAAAAGAGAGAGGGGACGAGAAAAAAAGAAAGAGAGAGAGAAAGAAAAAGAGTGAGGGGCGTAAGGAAGGAGTGGCCCCGCGGGACGGCTAGGAGAAGAGAGAGAAAAAAGAAGGAAAGAGAGAGAAAGAAGAAAAAAAAGGAGGGAACGAGAGAGGAAGAGAGAGAAAGAAAGAGGGACAGAGACACGAGAGGGATGAGAGGACGCGAGGAGGAAGGGGAGTAGAGATAAAAAGAAGAGGAGGAGAGAGAGAGAGAGGAAAAAGAGAGAGAGGAGAGAGAAAGAGAAAGAGAGGAAGAGAAAAGAGAGAAAGACTTAGCGAGGAGACGAGAAGGAGAAGAGAGAGGAGAGAGAGAAGAAGAGAGAGAGAGAGAGAGAGAGAGAGAGAAGAGGAAGAAGAAGAGAGAGAGAGAAAGAAAGAGAGGCGAGAGAGAGAGAGAGAAAGAGAGAGGAGAGAGAAAGAGACGAGAGGAGAGAGAGAGAGAGAGAGAGAGAGGAGAGAGAGAGAAGAGAGAAGAAGAGAAGAGAAAGAGAAAGAGAAGAAAGAAAGAAAGAGAGAGAGAGAGAGAGAGAGGAGAGAGAGAGAGAGAGAGAGAGAGAGAGAGAGACGAGAGAGAGAAGAAAGAAAAGAAAAGAAAGAGGAAAAGAGAGAGAGAAGCTGAAGAGAGAAAGATAGAGAGAGAGGATAGAGAGTAAAAGAGAGCTAAAATAGCTGAGAGAGAGAGAGAGAGAGAGAGAGAGAGAGGAGAGAGAGAGAGAGAGAGAGAGAGAGAGAGAGAGAGAGAGAGAGAGAGAGAGAGAGAGAGAGAGAGAGAGAGAGAGAGGATGAGAGAGAGAGAGGATAAGAGAGAGAGAGAGGATTGGATAAGAAAGAGAGAAGAGAGATTGAGAGAGAGAGAGAGAAGAGAGAGACTCAGACAGACAAGACAGACACCCCAGTCCCCCGTCCCCATTCATGAGCCAAAACTCGGGGCATCCCCCACTCCAAGATGATTAATCTCGCCGGAGAGGCGGAGTAGGCAAACTCGTCGGTTCATTCAGAAGACGCGGGAATTTTGAAAGAAAGGAAAAAGAAATAGTATCCGTGAACAGCGTGAAAGGAGAAATAAAAAAAATGCTTTTAGACTTCCATTTCCCTCGGGTTCACTTTGACCCTGTGGGACTTGTTGGTCTGGCTTTGCGATCGCATGACGGGCTTAAATGACCGCCCCGCACACAGGCCACTTCCAGTTTCTCTGGGGCGAAGGAATACAAAGGGGAGGAAGGGAGAGGTAGCAGAAGAAAGAGGAATAGGAAGATGGGGAGGTGAAAGAGGAAGAATGGGAACAGAGGAGAGGATGGAGATGGGATGATGGTGATGGTGACGGTATATGACTTGATGATTCATGATGATGATGATGATGATGATGAGGAGGAGGAGGAGAGAGAGAAGAAGAAGAAGCAAAAGTAACAGGAAGCAGGGTAGACAGAAAGAGAAAGAAAAAAAAAAAAAGGATCAAAGGCCTAAAAAAAATTAAGTCCAAGTACGAGAGGAAGGCGATGGCGAAGGAGCGGCAAGACACACGCTCCTCTCCATCCGCGTTCGCAGCACAACGGCCAGACAACCGGAGGAGCCATAATCCTGCGTCCTTCCCCGAGACATGGAGGTGCATAATCCAGACGGAAGCTCAGGCTCTTCTTGTAGTTACTGTTTTTTATTTTTATTATTTTTATCATTACTTCTCTTCGTAATGCCTACAATTCCTGGCAAACGTCTTGGCGGGAGAAGCGAGCGTGTCTCCCTGTAATGGTGAAGTCTCGGCTCGGGATGCTTTTAACGTAAATTCTTGAAAGAAATATGAGAACCATTCGGCTGATTTATCTGTGTTTCTGTATATAAATGCGACTTTTTGTGATATATGCAAACAATATTACCTTCCCATTCTTCCTCCATGCCTCCTTGCCTACTCCCGCCCTCCCTCCCTCCCTCTCTGCCTTTCCCTTTTCCTCTGGTCTGGCCTCTCTCTCTCTGCTTCTGCTTGTCTCTGTCTCTACCTCTGTCTCTGCCTCTGCCTCTGCTCTGCCTCTGTCTCTCCTCTCTGCCTCTATCTCTGCCTCTGCCTCTGCCTCTGCCTGTCTGTCTCTGCCTGTCTGCCTCTGCTTCCGTCTCTCTACTCTTTATGTTAATGATACTTACAAATATACTCCAAGCACACGTACGCAACAAACATCCCCACGAACAAGCAAACAGCCATTCGCGAGAAAAAGCAAACCATAAAACCCATGGCAGCCCCGCCGCATCGGCCGCCAAAGGACACCATACTGCACAGCTCCTCCCGCCACCCCCCTCGCGCGCACCATCCACCTCGCCATCACCATATCTCGCGATGAGTCCTCGGCCTGCCACCCGCTACTGCCTCCCGAGCCATTGTCAGCGTGTTTACGAGTCTCATCAGCGGAGGCGCGTTCACCTTCGCTACGTCGTTCATGCAACAGTAAGACACTCGGGAGTCGGCCGGCGCGCGCTCGCCGACGGAGGCTCTCCCCCGAGAGCTTCTTGCGCGTCGGGAGGCTGGTTGGGCGAGAGGGATGCTGAGACGGGGGAGAGGGAAAGGCAAGAGGAGCGGTAGGGGAGTAAGAGGGGAAAGAGGAAAGGAAGGGGGAGGTGGAGAGGAGAAGATGGGGGAGAGAAGAGAGAGAAAGAGAGAGAGAGGAGAGAGAGAGAGAGAAGAGAGAGAGAGAGAGAGATGAGAGAGAGAGAGAGAAGAGAGAGAGAGAGAGAGAGAGGGGGGGGGAGGCAGATATAGCAGAGGGAGAGAAAGACAGAAATAAGAAACAAACTCCAGGCATTGTAAGGGGCATAAACAAGAAAAAACTGAGCATACATGATGATCTGCTCCCAAGGGAACGCATGTGCATTCATCATGCTCTGCATTAACTGGCCCGCAACTGCTGCTCTCCCCGCCCCCGCCGCCTTGTTCGCCCTCTGGCACACGAATGATGAGCGTCAATACTCCGCGCGGGGCCAGCACAAAGGGTCACAGGAAAATACAATTAGAGCAACATCAAACGAGGGCGTGACGAGGGAAGAATAAACAGTCTAACACGGGTGGCAGCAACATGACCAGGCACACCGTTCACGCCCATCCACAAGCATAATATGCCAACGCCAAGCACACGCACGCGCGGACATATGCGTACTCTATACACGCACGCACTCACACATACACAAATACACACAAATATATATATATATATATATATATATATATATATATATATATATATATATATATATATATTATATCGAGCGCGCGCACACACACAAATATACATGTTTACATATAAAACAAACACACGCAGCCACTCGCAAGCATAATAATCCCCGTCTCTCGGCGCGGTAGTACTGTAAGAGGTGTTGCACCTCCTAAAGGGTACTGGCGGGCAGAGTCATACACTGACGTGGCTGTCCTCTTTATTGGTTAAGAGTTAACACACACGAGTATTAAATGAACACGACACAAGTCTTGGTGCTGGTGGAAGCCCGGCCTACCCGCAGGGGTACGGCCGGCGGCAATGCAGGTCGCTCTTGAATAGAGGCTAGTGAGCGAGTGAGGGAGACCCGCCCTGCTGAGGGCAGCCTCGCGGAGGGTATGCGAGTCGGGTCCGCTTGGGTCATCCTTATATCCGAACAGCGGGCGCAGCAGGGCGTATATTTAGAACCGCCCTGCAAGCAAAACCACGCCGGGAGGAAACCCAAGCAGATCAAAGCCACGTGTATGGTCTCTCATATAGTATGCTGTAAGTATAATCGCGAGTTGGAGGACGTGCCTGTCATTGGGGACGATGCACACGGAAGAGTGCACACGGAGTGAGATAACAGAGATATTGCCTCCTCTGAGGCAGGGTGAGGGTGAGGGTGAGATGATGATGATGACGATGGTGATTGTGAAGATAATGATGATGATGAAGATAATGATAATGAAGAGAAAAGAGGGAGGAGAGGAGTGAGGACAGAAAACAGATGAGAGGGAGAGGAGAGAAGAGGGACCCCCCGGGGGCGCGCGCGGTGGCCCCGTCCAGCCGAGACAAAGGTGCGGCTGCTGGGTTGCGCGGAGCCTCCCTCGGCCTCTGCCCTATTCCGCACAAACGCCATGAGGCCTTCCCTCTCTCGCAGGTGCCCGCTGGTCCTGGGTCCATTGACCATGCGCTGCTTGAACGCTTTAGCGGGTCACTCTTCCTGGAATTGAGTTGTGCTGCATTCGCACTGTCTAAAATTACGAAAAAAAAAGTTTATGGACTTCTTACCTTTTTGTGTTGTGGAATCAGGCATGTTGGCCAT